AGGGTGAGGAAAGGATATATAGAAAGACGGGGACCAGGATCAAGTTATTCAAAGATGTCGATTGACATCTCATTTGAATATTTGATGGTTATAGATATCAGGGAGCAAGTAGAAGCAAGGGAGTTCCACTGGTGGGAAGTGTAAGAGAAGAAGCCGTTGGAGTAGACGAGGATGTTACATTTAACTGTTTCGACAGTGAAAGGGTCGGACCGTGATACCAACCTAGTAACACGCTTAAATTCATGCAGATGGGTTACCAGTGAAAACAAGCTCGTCAGAGCAGTTGCCATGAAAATATTTGTAGAAAATACAGAGGGAAGCAACATCACGTCTATGAAAAAGTGACTGTAGACGAGATGCCAGATCAGGACCTATATACGTCTATGGATTTTGCCGCGTACCTCGAGATGAAAAGCGGGGGCACCAGACCATATCTGGCAACAGTATTCAATGCAAGGGCGCATAGTAGATTTGTTGATTTGAAGGGTGGACTCAGGCGAGTTATTCAAAAATTTTAAATGTAAGAACGCTCATAAATATACTTCAGACCAACTGAAAGTCAAGGTAAACTAGGAGGATGCTAAGTCATTTCACTGTTGAAATTGCTAGATGCAACCGTAAGTTCTACATTAATAGTTTCTTCTCCCAAATTTCTCGTTTCTGGAAGTCTCTTTTGGTTTCTTGTTTTCCTTTCAACAACTATTTTCAAAGATTTATAGGAATTGACAATCATCATTTTTTGTCTTCTTAATTTCCTTTCTTTTGTCGTCTTTTCTGTTTCTTTCATTCACATTAACACCTTAGTGACTTTGTCGCCTTGCTTGTGAAAAAGAATAAACAAAATATACCTTAACTGCTCCATTTGAATTGTTCTTATTTGAGGAGGAACCGATTTAAAGTGCAATTCCCGGTTTATAAGACGTAATTAAGAAAATCAAAAAAGAACAAATAGGTAACTTGTAATAGTCTCTTGACCTACGTATTATACTTATGGTGTAATGGATAGCGCCAGGAATGATAAATTGGAGAACTGAGTTCGAATTACAGTCGGGTTTGTTGCATTCACTTAGGAGCAAATGCTATTAGTAAAGATATAAATCCATCTCTTTACCCCACCCGCGGCTATGGTTCTAAACTGGTTCTCTAGCTTTGGTTAGAAACGAATCTATCACAGAAATAAACAGCAACCTACTGCGGGAAAATCTTCTGTCTTCTCACTCATGAATCGAGAGAGACATGTAAGCCCAAGCGTGTAGTGATTTTCCAAGTGTAGCTCAGATGTGGCAGTGAGGATCGAACTCACTAGCAATAGTTTTGAGCGAGACAAGTTTGCTAACCATTACACCACATAGAGGTACCCAAGCCTAAGCGTGTATGGCATTTAAATGACTGACTATATTTTCTCACGGGTTACAGAAAATATGATGCAACAGCAGGAAACTAACTAGTAGATGGATAACAAAAAAATAAAAGTAAGTTATCTAGTTAAATAGAACGTTGTGGAGAGCCATGATCATCCAAGACGTGAAGGGATACGTTATATGAATGAAGAACATGTATCAATGTGTAGGATCTCATAATCGTCACTGATATGAAATACAGAAATTTTAATGTCATGATTTTGTTGTATTTTCGATATATAAAAACTGTCTGTTTCTTTAACCGCTATAATAGCCCAGCGTTTTTATTCCTTGTCATCCATTTTTGGTGTAAAAAAATTCCCGGCTTACATAAGCACAAATAGAAATGTCATGTAACAGGAAATACATTTTATATCTGTCTGAATTTCTGCGATGTGAAGTTAGCCTTATTTACATCATGTATATTTAAACTATTTATATTCGGACTACTGTCCTCATGACGACAGTAGTCCGAATATAAATACAGAATACTAAAGTAAAATGTAGTAGAAAATATAAATTCTGACTAAGGGTTACACCATCCCAGATATCTCCAGACCCATTTAAAATATTTATCAGGCCAACGTTTTGGGCCTAACGGTCCATGTTGAGTATCGCTGGAAACTATAACACAATTTTAGCGTGATTCGATTCCCTGCAAGGGAGAGGAATCGTTTTAAAATGTCTAGAGAACCAAAGAAAGATATTTCACAGAATTTATATTTTTTCTATTCCTATTTTGAATATAACCAGCCTTATGACCTTCAGTGAAGCACCAAAATGACTCTTTTGCTTATAACAATGTATCATATTCACTGACAAGAATATCTTAGGATAATACAACTTGCTGATATTACGACTTGCTTTGTTTATCTCCTTTCATTGAGTGAATTATCTGAGTAACACGGCCATACTGTCTGCTGAGAAACCTCTTCATAAGGAAATGATACCGGCATCGTTTTAAATATAAATGATTGTCAGTATTTGCCCTGGGGGTTTCGCAGTTAATGTAACAATGATCTTACATCAAAATTAATTATAAAAGGATATTCCATTCTCTGAGCTGAAAATTCATCATTGGTTGGTTAAAATTTTTACAAAAACTGAATCTTCTTTCTTTAATTATATATTTACTAGCAAAATGTCGCATTCTTAATATGTAAATGTTCTGATGGAACATGATACTTAGTGCCAGGATTAAATAAGCTCCTTGCAATTTCAACAACTAAAAAATACCCGTGAAAAATTCTCTTGTTATATCAATAAATATTTGAGCTTAACAACTTTAACAAAATATTTCAATAAATATAAAGTCAGGTCATTGTTTACAGAAGTAAGAGGGTACAAATGAAAAATTTCAAGATTAACTAGATTTTCCATTTCACTGAAGTATTCATCCATTTTTTTATTATTATTATGCACAAGGATTTTTTTTCGTTGAAAGGGACATTAAACATATGAGAACATTATCGCCTCCCTCAAATTTTCTTTCCACATACACACAGACACACACACACACACACACAGATATATATATATATATATATATATATATATATATATATATATATATATATATATATATATTTATGCGTCTTAGAATGAGGCCCGGCGAAACTTTAAAAAAAAAAAAAGGTATTAAATATTTACTCTGTCCGCTGCTGCTATACCAATAATTTATAAACAGAGGAGTGGCAAACTATTACAAAATGTAACGTACGTGTTAACTAACTACGGAATAAAAGAACACGTAGAATATGATGCAATATATTGAATGATAATTTATTCTATTTCAAGTGTCTTTTATTCTGGCAAAGGCTAGAATCATCCATTAAAGGTGCAGACATTAACGGAGGTGTCACCATTTTTTGACAGATATCTGTGGTGTACAATTAAAGTGAAATTTTCATATTCGTTCATCGATCTGAAACAAAACAATTCCAGCAGCAAAACAAAATCGATTTTCTTAGTTCATGACCACCTTTATGGTCCTTAATGACTGCTCGACTGGACATTATTTCCCTCTTTTCCATTCCTGGGGGATTTTCGGGTGAACAGATCGATCAAATCTAGTCCCATTCCGCTTCCATCTTGAAGCAGCTTTAAATGGCGGCCATATTGAAAGTGTCAGACGACAACTTTTTTCGATAGCTTTTGAAGGTAAAACAAACTGATTCATTGTTATAGTTTATTTCACTTCATTTGCGAAGCGAAAACAACTTAAATCAACTGTGTAAGGAGCGTGATCTCTACCTTTTAACCGGCTCGTTTTTTAAGATACTTGTGTATTTCTGTCACTGTAGCTGGAACGACTGGCTAATATATTCAGTGGACGCTTTCATTTTAATCTCTTTGAAATGGAGAAATCGTGGCAAATATCAATCGTGCCAGCGCCTGCTTATTTATTTATTCGTCTTTAATAGCTATCATTTATTTATCAACAATCCTCTTCGACTTGGAGCCATTAGAATCCCCTATGAAGAATATGATCTCAAACGCCACGCGAGTTGTTGCTGCTATGGGTTTTGTAGTAAATATTTTTTACGTATTATAGTTACCATCCCCACGTTCAAATGGTTTTGAATTATGATTTATCCTTCTTTTAGACTGTTTATCAATCAAGGCTAGAGACTCTAGGGAATTTATGTGAAAGTGAACGCAACGAATTCGACCTGAATTTGAACTTGGCGTGCAGATCATAGTTTCCGTGCTGATAGCACTGCACTACATGGACAGCTGACCGTTCAGTAAATTCTTATCAAATTAAGAAACACATATATTAAGTATATTCTTATAGCATTGCTGTCTGTCTTTACTGGCCCTTTGTTGAGAAAAATAGGATATTACTATATGTATAATACTATACAGACTCTGGATGCAACTTTTCCTGGGTGTCACCATGTTGGTTTCGATCGAATTGCTTGCAGTACAGACCAAGCAAAATGACACACACAACAGAATATAATAAAAGCACACATCATAGAACAGGTCGTCTTGTACATTACTATATGTCAACGAGGGTTTGGACTAGCACTAAACGTGAGCTAGTTTAATGCACACTTGCTCACGGTAGAGTATTCATAACACACACACACATATATATATATATATATATATATATATATATATATATATATATATATATATATATATATATTTATCAACAGTTTCATATGAATTATATGTACGTTCACAGCACCGGACGTTTGTATGAATCGGTAGCAGAGCAAGAAGAAAAAAATGATGGTAAAATATCAAATGTTACTTAGAGTAATCAGAGACCGGAAGAGGTAAAGAGCCATAATTTCTCACTTCCTGAAAAGATATGGACAAAGATTATTTATTGATTGTTTTATTAACCCTTTCCTGGTTATTTAAGACAAGAAATATTTTTTTAGATTGTAAGAATTTTTTTTCAGAAAATAACCGATTTAATAATACAAATCTTACTAATTAACTCATAGCAGTGGGAGGAAAAAGTGGATTCATACCTTTAACAAGGATATTGTGTGAATATAACGAACCCAATGGGAAATAGAACTCGGCTCTCTGATTAGAATTTCTGAGGCCTTATCCATTACACTACCTTCACATCCAAGTTTACAACACCTGTTATTCTAAAGTGGTCAACCATTTAGGTACAGACGACGCTCAACGTTGCTTAACTTCGATGATCATATGGGAACCGGTGTGCCAACGTGATGTGGCCGTAAGTCAAGGCTGAAGAAGAAAAAGAAAGTTGATTCCTTTAGGTCAAATTTATTGCTTTTTTTAAATTTCCCTAAGCGTGTTTTACATCCAGTAACGCTTTACTATTGTTCAAATTGCTGCTGTCACATATCTTAGCATCAGAATTGTGTTGTGTTAAAGAAAAGTGAAGACATTGTATTAAAAAAAATAGTTGTCCTCACGGAATTTTTACAAGTGGAAGGTGATGACAGCTGAAGATAACTTTTTTCTCCTATTTTGTTGTATTGCTGTCCAAACAGACATAAGATAACAAATATCTGTCACCATTAAACGAGTCAAGAGACATTTGAACAGTCATGGCGATAAGCTCGTAATATCCTGGAGAAGAGAATCTAGTAAGTACGTCTCGCAGAGTCGACATCGTTAATTAGACTTATCCATCACAGTTACAAGGATAAGGTTTTTGGATGAATTAGTTCATTTTTTTTCCTCATTAAATCCTCGTTATTATTACTATTTCAGACATAACCGAATGGGGAAAGATTTTTTAAAAATCGTTCAAAATACCTTCGCCTTTTTTAAAGTTCCAGGTTTGGAGAGATGACAGATAAATGTAAGTCTGAATTAAGAAAAAAAAATAAAACTTAAATTTAATAAAGAAGCAAATATTTTACTGTATATTGCTGATTTAATTTTTTTGATTGAGTTATAATTTCAATCCTAACGAGATATTTTACTTTCCCAGGTTTTGGCACTTAGATGTGGTGCAATGGTTTGCGATCTTATCTTGCTATATCGACTGAACACTGGTTCTATCCTCACTGGGTGCTCTATACTTTAAGCGATGTGCAACATCTAAGCTACTCTTAGAAATTTATTTGGGCACTTAAACGTGGTGTATGATTAGCATGCTTGTCTAGTTCGATCAATTACAAATGAGTTCGATCCTCATTGGGGGTTCCATACTTTCAAGCTTCTACCACAATTTTCGAAACCGTTACTAGGGGAGGCTCCCCGGTACAATAAATACTCTGCGATATTTTTTTATTACTATCTCTGATCTTATCCATCAATATGTAAATCTCTCTCGGAAAAAATACCCGTACTCTTTTGGGAAACGCATAAACAATACACACACACACGTACGTACGCACATCCACATACATTTGTTAAACATATTGTTGTTTTTGTTATTTGAAACACTTTGTTGTTAATACATTATCATTTGTTTGTATATATATATATATATATATATATATATATATATATATATATATATATATATATATATATATGCATGTATGTATGTATGTATGTATGTATGTATGTATGTTCTTGTTGTTTCTTTAAATTTCTTTACGTGGACTCACATCCCGAGTTGTTGTTGGAGACACACGTCTTTATCTCTCAATGCGCTCATCGGCCCGCAACATCAACTCTAAGCTACGCTTAGAAAATCAGACATTTGACTTCCGAAGATTAATTCATCTAAACTTATTTCTCCAACGAGTTATCTTCAAAAACACTAGAGAGCAGTCGAGAATGAGAATTCGGAGGGTCAAGTTCGTATTACATTCGCGTACATTATATACACTTAAGTGCATATGCACATGGTGAAGTTATGAAATTATCTCTTCTCCCTGGTATGGGTTAAATAGTATTTTTTGTTTCGTGAAAAGTCACGTTATCTTAAAAAAATCTATTAATGCGATATTTACTCGCAAAAAAGAATTAGTCTTATAATACAAAATATATATTTTCCGAATTTAATTACCCCAAAAGCCGTAACAAAACATTGCAATCAATAATCAAATCATAATCAAACAACGTTTTCAAAAACTGGTATTTCCGTTAAAGAGAATATTGCGAGTTATTATAATGGTTTGGTTTGTTGTTTTTTTACGGTATATCAACCTCAATGGGTTATTTAATGCCGACAACTTTTTTTTTCTCATAATATTTTGTTTTGTCAAAAATCTATTTCTGGTAATATTTTTTTCCTAAAAAATGTATAGCTGGTAATATCATTTTAAAATATGTATTACTGGTAATATTTTTTTTTTCAAAAACGTATTGCTGGTAATATATTTTTTCAAAAATATATTGCTGATAATGATTTTTTTTTTTCAAAAATATATCGTTGGTAATAGTTGTTTTTCAAAAATATATTGGTGGTAATAGTTTTTTTTTCAAAAATATATTGCTGGTAAGAGTTTTTTTTTTTCAAAATTTATTTGTCGTAATAATTTTTACAGAGTATTTCTGGTATTAAAACCCATATTTACACTTTTATAATGCTTTTTACCTCAGTTTCGGGGTTAACTATTTGCCCATAGCTGGGACCCTAACAGGTGCAACCAATCCGGGTCACGGTGGACCTGGGAACACTAGCAATTAAGAGGTGGCTCCACGCTCCTCAAAACCTCCTGATCAGACCCCTTGCTGTTGGATGTAGTTTATCGCCTTACCCAGGACGCGGATGTAGTTTATCGTCATACCCAGGACGGAGTTATTATGATTTTTAGTTATAAATATGTCACAATTATATTTTGGGTATCACCTCATTTGCGAAGTGTATGGACGTTGTATATTAAATATTCATGGTCTCCTGGAACATTTTCCCGCGGACAATATTCAACGGACTTGAGTCCGGGTAAAAATAAGAAATACAAAACATTGAATTTACAAACAAACGTGAATGATATGCTTGTATTAATAACAGTAATTGGATGTCTAGACAACTAAAATAAAAAGGAAAGGCATTGAAAACTAGATATGAGAAATTGTTTGTTTTTGTATGTGTGTGTGAAATAAGCGTGTATGATAGACATGTGTGTGTATGTGTGTGTGGGGGAAAGTTAAAAAGTCAACAGAGGACCAAGGAAGCGAACGTGCCCCAGCGGCAGCTTTCTTTATTTAAGTTCGAACACATCTGAAAACAAGAGGTAAAAGAGAAAGATGAAGGAAATATTTGACTCATTATAGACCTAAAGAGCGTCTTCTAATAGGCTTTAGTTGCAAAACCAAATGGAGTAAGCCACAAAAAATATTTCCCCTGAAATTTTGGCAAGGCGTCTTTTAATAAGTAAATATTCAGTCACTCTCATGCAAATGTATAGAAATGTTTATCATATGACAATAATTGTTAACTGGTAAGATTTGTTTAATGTCATATCAGCCTGTATGGGTTATTTAATGCCGAAATTTAAATATTTCGAACAGAAATGTATACCTTCAAATACAGATCAAATGTATTGTTGGTCATTTTGCTTTAAATATGTATTGCTGAAAATTTTGCTATAAATAAGTATTGTTGGTTGGCTGACTTTGTTTAGCGATATATCAACCTCTATGGTTAATTTAACGCCGAAATTTGTACGTAATTATATGCTTTAAGGGTAAAGGTATATTTTTTAGAGATATAGTTTGTAAATCATAAAATGTACTGTTGGTAATTTTACTATGTTCAAGGGATCAATCTTCAGTTGGTTTATATAGCTCTTGGTTCAACAAAAATTAATTCTTCCCGCATCAACCTCTATAGTGACGCTGGGCCTTGTCTAAACTACTGGGGGAGCTGGATTCAAAGTCAGCGAATCAGGGAATCTGGTGGCAGCTGATGTGGATTTCAAAGGCAATCGATGCGCGTTCTCAGCTCAAAGTCTCTGAAATCCCCAAATTTATCTCCCTATATGCACTTCGACCAATGCGTTCTGGGCATTCAGTGATTCCTCAATTCTCATTAATTCCAATAAAGGTCTTTTGTTCCCTATTTCTGCTTTCTAAATAGATTTTCCAAATTTGGAGCATTATCCACCCTCCTTAGTAGTAGTCTCAGAGATTGCTCCTCCCTTAACTCCAACCTGCTTCACTCCACATATCACACCGCTAATCCGCACAGGCAGAGCTAAATTTTTCTTCTTCATCCTCCCTCCTCGATATTCTAACTCTGCCCACTTCTCAGGGCTGGCATACCTGTCTTTGTGATAAATCTAATTTTTAAAGTGCATAGGAAAAAGGGTGTGGTTTATTCTTCTCATTAATTTAAATTCTCTGACTCCTTTTCTGGACTCACTTTTCCAGAAAAACCACAACCTTTTCATTTTAACCATCCGAGTGATAGATAAAAATTATTTCCCAATTTGTTTTCGTCAATGAAAATATATTTCTTTACCTGAATTCTCAAAAAAGAGACACGTTGTTTCCCATCCTTGGGCTGGCCGCTGTCTTAACGAAAGCATAAGCCAGATCATCTCCCTGTTATGAACAATCAGTTTGCAGAATCCTAACCCTCGCAGCGAGTTCATTCTCTGTTTCATTTCTCAATTCGTTTTCGCGATCGAAATTATAATTCCCACCTGCTTCTCTTTTCGCCAATGACGTGTTTTTCTAATTTCCAGGGAAAGAGATAAAGCCATTTCTCAATTTACTTTACGCGTGTCATATAGGAATAAAGTGTCGCTGTTGACACTTGAATTTGAAGATAGACCCCCAGTAAGCGCTGAGCGGAAATACGAACAAAATTGAAAAAGGGTGTTTGGGCTGTGTATGGGTATGTGAGACGTTTGGCAGATATGTCAATGGGCTTGAATCCTTCAAACTGGTAACGGACCATAAATTACTTAAACCGTTAATAAACACACATGATCTGTAAAATACCCCATTACGATATGAAAGATTTCTGATGAGACTGAGAAGATATAACCCAGTAGCAGAACACTTTCCAGGGAAGACACAAGTCGTACCAGATACACTATCAAGAAGTCTTTTATCCGACACTGATAGTAATACCAGCAAAGATGTTGGCATATACACAGTCTGGGTAGCAAGAACCAGACCAGGATCGGACAAGAAATTAACTGAAATGAAAATAGCCATTCAACAGGATATTCTAATACAGGAAATAATACATCTCACACTAATCGAATGGGCACGCAAAGAATAAAGAATAAAAGAAATTATAAGGCCATATTTTCCAAATTGGAATGAATTGTTAGTTCATGAAAATTTACTATCGTTTCAG